GTTCTCAGCCATTGCTTTCAAGCCTGACCTCAGCCCGCCTGCACTGAGTACTCTTAGAGACTAAACCAATGCAATCATCTCATCTGCTGTCTATCGTCCTCCTTTCAGAGGAGCTGCGATTTGCTGCCAGCTTACCCCAGCAGCAGATGATCATGCCCTAGCTTAGTGGTCCGAGCTACAGGTTGGCACTGGGGAGGTGAGCCAGGACCTGTGCATTTCTCAGAGGCTTCCCCCACCCTGCAGACAGGAAAGCATGACGCCTGCTTGCTCGGCATCCTGGCATGCACCCTGCTGCACAGACCAGAGCCCAGCAGAATTCACAAGCTTGTAGCTGTGTGTTTCATTAATGCCTGTTTGCTCTCTGCTTTCTCTTGCTTAGATGTGGACTACTCGGATGAACACTGCCATTTGGTGAGTTCAGTCATTACACTGTTAAGTGGTAGATTTAATACTGAGCTGTATTTGTATCTGTGTAATCTCTCTAATCTCTTCACGACAGATTTTACCAGACTCCGAAGCAAACAAAGATGTGAAAGGAGCAGGTCACAAAGGAAAGCAAAAATTCAAAGTGAAAGAAATGTATCTGACAAAGCTTCTGTCAACCAAGGTAAACTGTAAAGGCCTTATTATGGGGGAGGGCTGATGTTAGGCTTGGCTAGTCTGGCACAACAGAAATAGAAATTAAAGCAGAAATTATGCAGGCTTCCTGCATGTATATCAAATGTTAAATGAAAAGGTAGCCTATAAAATTCACTGTGCTAACTATGGATTATGACCATTTGCAAAGACGGACGCATTTCAGGTTTTCTAATGCTAGAGTTCTAAAATTGTCTGTTACTTGCACTCTCTATCTCCTCAGTAAGACAACCTTTTTTCTCAGGTTAAAGAAAAAAGGTAGTTATTGAGCTTACAGAAAGTGAGTTTTGCCACTGAGTCCCATAGAGCGAGAATGATCCCTTCTGGAGAGGCGGCTTTCAGTCAACAATCTCCTCACTCTCTCCTAGAGTTTGCCCAGCTTAGAGACAACTTTCAAGGCCTGAATTTCACAAAATACTGCCCATGAAATGAAATAATCTTTTAGGGCCTCAAATTAAGCATCCAAAATAACTAGATTAATTTTAAAAACAAGGTCCTTAGGATTTATAATACGAGTACCTAATTTATACAGTGCGCTTTCCTTAGGAATAAACCCTGCTCGCTCCCTCTGGTAATGTCATCGTGTTTCTGACTTACTCAAAAGGGTTATAAAACTCTTTGCAACAGCATATTACTTAAAATATTAATCAGTGCACAACACTGAGAACTGTGCGATACAAGAGACCTGAAGAGATGATGATTATGGCCCTCTTGCATTTAAAAATCTATTAATCATTATTTAATTAGATTGTTGATAGCATCTGAAGTAATTTGGGATGCTACCCAAAGTGAGAGTGAGACTGGTCATTTCTCATTAGCTGTGGAAACTAACATAAGCCCTTAGGAATTGCTGGAATAAACCAGTAATACCTTATGGGGGGAGACTGAAGTACAAAAGAAAAGATCAAGCTCTTAAGAAACAGCCCTTTTAAAGGGCTTTAAATTAATCATCTCCTTCTCCAAAACAGGGTAGTGCTCTGAACAACAGTGCTGTGATATCCTTTACTGTGAAATTCCACCCATGATACATCGTGCACTAAAGGAAATTGCATTGAACCGTGTCTCTCTCCCTCTCGCTCTCTCACCCATACATGCACGCAGACACAACTGCAGTTTGCCACGTGAAATGAACTGGCAAGGAGCACATCAAGGCCCTGGGATACACTTAAATCCTTCTTGTTGAGAGAAGATGGGGCTGAACTGAGCTTCAGAACAGATGTGAAGAAAAAAAGCACAAAACAGTGGTTTGCTTTGTTTGCCTCTACTTATGAATACTCTGTGACAATGTCAGTGAGTCCGTCAGCAACCAAGCCGTTGCTTTTGTGAGCCAAATAGCTTCACTGCTGGATCAGAAATACTCAGTTTTCAGTTCTTCTCTCTCATATTAGTGTCTTCGTATGCCACCCAAAGCTGTTATCCTAGAGTTAGATCAAGCGCCACAGTCGCTTGGCTGTGAAGTGTTGATGAGTACACGTGTTCAACATGTGTCGCAGATGGCACCATGAAGACCAGTGCCCTAGAAAACTGGTTAAACTCCTTTTGCTCACCTCCCTCTTACTTCCAGTCACAAGTTCCAAATGCCTTTAGCAACGGTGCCAACAGTATTCGAAGAGTTGACGTTGTCTTTGTTGGAACGAGTGATTCCTTCCACCTACGATTCATCACAGAGTTCACCACAATTCTCCTGTCGGCAAAGTGATAGGACATGTGACATTAGAAAGCAGCTCGTTATGGTGTATTTGTGGTTTCATTTTTTGTTATTGACTGTCTTGTTTGCCAATAACCTACGGCTTAGATGTTTGCCACAAGCGTATTGTAGTTTCTGTGTGTGGTTGCCTTGGGGCACGCTCAGCTCTCTGAGACAAGAAATCCTGTTCTTTTCTTGCGTAATAATAGCACTGTTCTTTTTCTTACTTTTCAGGTTGCAATTCATTCGGTTGTTGAGAAGCTCTTCAGGAGCATTTGGAGTTTACCCAACAATAAAGCACCTGTCGCCATCAAGTACTTTTTTGACTTTCTGGATGCCCAGGCTGAAAGCAAAAAAATTACTGACCCTGATGTGGTCCATATATGGAAAACCAACAGGTATGCCCATATGATATGCACAGGAGCGCGTGCACTCTCTGAAAATGTAGTTGCAAGGGTGGAACAGGTCACCTGTGATCAGAATAATAAGGTTTTGGCACGTCTGGTTGAAGATGTTGTTTGGCTTTGTGGATCCCAGTAATTTTAGTATATTGATTGGATACTGATACAAACCACCATAGCTTCCAGGACTTCTAAGTCTGCATACTGACCTCACGCTCAGAAGTATCTGCAGGTTGAGAGCATTATTTGAAGATGGAAGGGTGACTGACTGATGTGTTTGTTCTGTGGCCTTTGTTCCCTGATCCCTTTTTTAACATGAATAAGCAGCCCAGAAATGTGCTTCTTTCCATGACCACGGTGCAATTTTAAAGCAGTTGTGCTGCCTGAGTGGTTAAAGATGCTTGTTCTTTCTCTGTCTAGTCTTCCTCTTCGCTTCTGGGTGAACATACTGAAGAATCCCCAGTTTGTCTTTGATATTAAGAAGACTTCACATATAGATGGCTGTTTGTCTGTAATCGCACAAGCTTTCATGGATGCCTTTTCTCTAGCAGAACAGACACTGGGGAAGGTAATGCTGCCCTTCCAACGTTTTGCTAACTTCTCAACCAATGTCTTTTTCAACTGTATAATGATTTAGGGGATGAAGTCCTGGATCTGCTGACATCGGGGGCAAAGCTGTCAGGGGCCTAAGCAAGCTGGGTTTCCATTCCTTGTTGCTCCGTCTCACAAGGCTTTGAAGAATTCACAGGAGTAGACAGATACAGCTACTAGAATGCTGTATTTATAGTTAACTGCTGCTTGTCTTCTCTGCAGTTAGTTTCTGCACAGTGTGTTTATAGAATATGGGGAAGGGGGTGGAAATTGTAAGATTTTAATGACGTTTTAAAGAATTTTCAAACAAAGGTCTTAAAAGTATTAACATTATTTGATAAGTAGTCCAAATTTTGTCTGCCACACACCAATGTTCAGAAAACACACATAGTAAGCTACTGCGAGCTGTAAGAATACTTGAAAGAGCTCTGAAGTTTGAAACAGTTCCTTTCACATGTATTAGCTGCTCCCTTTTTATATGCAAAATTATTTGCTGGAGTAACAAGTCCAGAAATCTTATATTCAAAAGCTCTTTAGTACAGTGTACAAAACTCTGGGGATCAGAAATACTTCACTTTCCCCCAAGGATATTTTCCTTTTCTTTGGACCAAAGCAGGAAGCAGCACCAAGAAAAACAGGCTAGAGATTTTTTAGCCTAAAAATAAATGTATATAAAAATGGACTAATTTCCTATGTGGTCTGCACCAACTGCTCATCTGTTAAAGGTAAATAACAAATAATGTGCTTATTTATCTTATTTTAGGAGTGAAGAGTCATGAAGTAAAACTAATCACATCACTTGCTTGATGGAAAAACTGCAAGTGAGCATGGTCCCTTAGGTTTCCATGCTTAACATCCATTGTGAAGTACAACAGCTCCCATTAGCCATTTGAAAAGGGATGCTGAAACCTGAGAAAGGTTTGCAATGCAGTAAACATCTTGTGGCCTTTTAGTACTAAAATGTATTTGCTTTCATGATTTTTAGCCTTTTATCTTAAAACATTCCTTTAGCCACTTAGAAAACAAACATTTAAATCATTTCATCACACAGCGGAAACAGTAGTGACAAGATATCACATGGTTGTGTCATTTATTCCCCAGAATTTAAACTAGAGCAGTGACAGGAAACTACCAGCCCCCACTTTTACCTTCTGAAAACATGGTTTCCAGGTGGGGCTTCGGCTCCTACCACAAACACCAGCATTTATTTCCTCAGATGAGCCTAAAGCTGCCTGGTAGGTCAGTGCTGACCTGGGTTGTTGAAGCCCTGGGGAAAAAAATAAATCCCTTTGGCTGTGCATGCCTGGCAGCCAGCTCTCCACGCTCCCGAACCCCCGAGCAAAAGGAGCAGTAGGGACCAAAGAGTTTTAGGGGACCCTCCGCCAGGACAGGATCTAGCAAGGCTCTCTGGCGTGTTACCCTGGGGGAACTTTCCACAGCGCTGCTGTATCCTCTATGTAAACAGGGTATCAGCCTCAAGCCCTTTGGTTCAGCTTTCACAATCTTTCAGGTCTGGGGAGCGGTGAGGAGGAAGTAAGGAAGAAAATTATGTCTAAGGGACACACGTTCATCACTCCTGATGCCAATAGAAATAATTATATGGCAACTGTCATGAAACACAATGCACTATTGCTGAGGTCCTGCGTCTGTTCCTCATCTTTATTTCATAACCTTGATTCTTTGCATATAACTACCGCAAAGAGAAATGAGTCACACAGAGAACAGACACAATTAGATGCAATTAACTATGTGGAGGTGGAACCTTAGGAAATCTGTGCTGTGAAAATTGACAAGGCTTCAAATATTTTCTTTTAAGGAAGCACCAACAAATAAGCTTCTCTACGCTAAGGACATTCCACTCTACAAGAAGGAGGTGAAAGCATACTATAAAGCCATCAGGGATCTGCCTCCATTGACCGCTTCAGAGGTTGAAGAATTTCTAACTCAGGAATCTAAGGTATGGTTGAGAAGCGGCAACTTCATTTGCTTTCATGTTAAGTTTTTTAAAAAGGAGAACTATCTGACTGGAACTGTTTTCTGTTTTAGAAACATGAAAATGAATTCAATGAGAAAGTGGCCTTGACTGAAATCTACAGATACATAGTGAAATACTATGATGAGGTAAACACGTCTGCTATTCCTGCTTAACCCCTTGATGTTAACTTGCTTCCTCCTCAGGCTTGAAAGTTGGGCTTGACAAAGTAACCAAGGGCTGGCCTGGTGTGTGACTTATTGGGTGCCACCCCAGAGACAGCCCCTACTCAGTGATGCGGCCACGGCTGAGCTGTGTGGGCCCAGAGCAGTGCAGTCCCCGGGGGCGGCTGGAGCCCCCACCTCCCGGAGGGGTCACCGGCCAAAGGTTTCTAAAGGCACCTTTACTGTCACCACTGTATTTCACAGAGGCAGCGGCAATAAAATTCTCCCTGCAGTTTTGAGAAAGTTCCCATGTAGCCTAGACTTCTTGTTTTACTGTGTTTGCAGAGTATCTGCTAATGCCTGTCACAACTCCTGTGCGTGCGCTCCATTTCCCTGGAGATTCAGAAATCAGATTAGAATGTAGCACCAGGGATCTCGCTTTAACAGTCAGTACAAACACCTCAGCGGAGCAGACTCAGCCTTACAGGAAGAGGTGTCTGCTCCTTTCCCATCATAGCCCTCTTATGCTCTGCTCTAATAGTCTTTCTCTTAAAGAAAAGAAGCTATAGCTTCCAGTCCCTGCTACTGCTAACAAAAGAAATCTTTTCTCAACTGAAAGCACCTGGTCACAGGCTACCTCTAAGCTGCTTTGTAAGAAAATCCCTGCCCTCTGCTTTGCATGATAGGATTCTCCACTCCATTTTGCTCAGCATCCTTAACAGAGGCTGCGTGTGCCTGCGCAGGAACGAAGATAAGAGCCAGCTGGGGTGTGTTGCCTGAAGGCCTCGTTACCACTTCCAGCAGGTTGTCTGGGTCTCCCAGCAACCAGACCTTTCTCTCTTTCCTCCCCAGCAGCACAGCAGCAGCGCTTGCTGTAATCATCCAGCTCTCAGTCACCTGTTAGCTAGCTTACCACTTCTGATCTCTAACATCTCAAATTATCTGGGTTCGGCATCAAATCTTTGCCTCTTAAAAGAAGCTTGGGATGATACTCAGAATGGTGCTACACTTGATTAAGCTCGTTAAAATTGTTGATGCAGGAGACCTCAGAATACTTTCTAATCTTAGTGCCCATTTTTGCTTTTTTGAAGCTAGTGCTGGCTAAACTTACCCCATCCTCAGAAGAAAACCCTTCCTCTGCTCTTCCGCCTCTGGCTTTTGGCTGGGAGCAGCTAAACCTCATTCGTTGTTTGCTGAGACCTCAGTCGCTTTGTAGAGTTGCCAGCAAAGAGTTTTCAAACAGCAGTAGGGCTCCTTCCTATCACCTGGCTTGGTGCCAAGTGGACCAGCTAGAGGAAGAGAGGCAGTTCATTGCCTTCAGTTTACAGGGCAGAGGAAGAGAAATAAAATAACATTTGCAAATCTGCTCTAGGGTAAAACTGGAGTGCTGGCCTTGCCTCACACTTCAAGAGATGAACATGTGTTGGATTTGTTTTGGGTTTTTTGCTTGGCTCTGTCATTCTTTTGTGGAAGTGTTGCAAATCCTGTAATCATAGTGACTTGAAAGGAAAACTACCAAAATAAAGTGTTAAAGTCAGAAAAGAATGTTTACATATAGGCAGGCATTCAGATGGATTTTTCTGCCAGTAGTTGTTGGAATGCAGAAAAGCAGGCTTTAAAAAACAGCAAGTAAAATAAGCACTAAAGAAATTATTCTCTTTTTTGCTAATTGTTAACAGATTGTCAGCAAACTCGAGCGAGAACGGGGGTTTGAAGAAGTCCAGAAACAGCTCCAGCAAGTAAAAGCCTTATTTGATGAAAAGAAAAAATGCAAATGGCTTTGAGCAGAGCACTGACTCACAGCATCACTGTGGGGGATTTTAAATAAGCGCTACTGCTCCCAAAACTGTTTTGACTGACTATATGTACAGGGTTTGAAACATTTGGACACTCTTCTCCACTCTGACCATTCCAAGTAATACCTACGTTTGGGAATGAAGCACGGGCAGGGGTAGGTACTCAAACGTGGGCATGTGAAAGCGAAAACGAGTCTAGCATTGGCAGGGCCGGCATTTTTAGGTACTTTGAACACATGTACCTTTTGGTTCAAAAATACTGCCTAAGTAAGCTTTCTGCTTACTTAAAAAGAAGCTTGCGGGAGATGCGCAAAACACATGGCAAGTTCAGAGTTGCCTGTGTGAACCTGTAAGTTGCTTCGCTCTTTTTTTGAAGAGAGAAAGCTGATGTTTCGCCACATCCTTTCGGCAGCCTTTGCTAACGGTGAGGATGAGCTCCGGCTTCAGAATATGGGTCAGCTGCAGTTTCCTTCCTTCCAGACAAATGTACACTGGTTCCTGTTTGAAAAAAAAAACAGCACCGAAGTGACACTTAGGACAAGTGTGTTTAGCAGAAAAAGTGGGTCTGAAGTTTGAAGTCCAAACGCCACGTGGCAGGACTTCTCTTCCTTAGGTTAGAAATTCCACGTGCAAAGCGAAGCCAACCGCCGAGCAGGGGGGGAGGCTTTTGGAGAAGGGCGCTAGACCGGCATCAGTCTGTGTTTACATTTCTACCTTTCCATCCTTAAAAAAGCTGTGAAACACTTGTGAGCAGCTTCACACGTGAAGCCTCCGTGCAGCTGCACCGCATCGGAACACCGTTGCGATTTGATGAAGCAGCTGACGATGGCTGCACTTTGATGCACAAACCTGTACTCAGGTGCATGATCGGCCCATGCATCAGTGCTGACAGGCCAGGCCAGTCTTGCCATCCGTGTACAAGGGCCTCACAAATCTAAAGCCAGCATATTTTTTTCCAGGTTGTCCACACAAAGGCTTTGTCAGAAGAGGGTTAGTTTAATAACACGTGAGAACAGGAGGGCTGGTGCAATCTCTGCGTCCGTATGAGAAACTGTTTGATACGCACATGAGAGTTAGGGCTGCAGAGGGAGGCAACTGCCTTAGTCCTGCTGGGGTGTTTTTTGAGGCTTGGCCATTTTCACGGGGGCCCGTTACATTTGCACTGGTGGCTGAAGTTAGCCCAGCTGGAAAGCGGGTGCGTGGCCACGCTGCTGAGACGAGGCTGGTGCAGTGGCTACCGTGCAAAGCCACGGAGGCGCAGCCGTGGCTCTGGTTCTGCTACCACACCAGCACAGTCCTACCCTCCACTACAGAGCTGAAACCTTTTGTTGCCGTGGACTCTGCTTCAGGCACACGGAGGCGCTTAGGCTGCAGCCTACCCTCAGATTTGAGGTGAGGCGTTGATGAGATGGAGATACGTTTCCACACGTTGCCGGAAGGTCCCACCGCTGGAGGCAAGTGGCGTAGCGCAGTGGCCCACAGGAGAGGGAAGAGCTGTCCCCTGCCTTGGCAGCGGCGAGGGCGCCACGGGCTGCGAATGGCACAGACGGCCCAAGTTCAGTACAGAAAGCCTATGCTGGGGCTGTGACCAGCCAGAGACGCCAACGCAGGGCTCCCAGGCAGCGGAGCGCTCGAAACATTTATTAGCGTGCGCCGCTGCTTTGGAGCAGCCCGGAGGCTGCAGTACAACAATACTGAAGCTGGCGGGTTTGGTTGCAATGGCTACCAGGAGCTGGTACCAGGCGCAATCCCACAGCACGCGGCCGGCCAGTGCCGGCGAACGCTAACCACGCTTTGGCAGAAGCAGGGCCGCCTGTTAACGTGGGGAAAAAGCGAACACAAAAACACGTTGCCTACTGGTCTGCCCCGCTCCCTACCATGTGATTGCACAAACTGTACCTCTTGCATATCAGTGAGGGCAGCCACCAACCCATACTGTGATGGCTTTTTTTGTGTTTTAATTCAAGTCTTATACTTGCTATTAAGTTTACACTTTATACTTGATGGAATGTATGGCTTTGTTCAGGAAGCTGCACTACAGTGTTGCAGTACTTTCAGCAGTTCTCTTCTCTGCCTGTCACAATATATTGTGGTAAGTTTAATTTTAACTGGGAAAAAAAAAACACAACCCACCCCAACCCTGACCTATCTTGCCCTCTGTCCTAAAGGAGTGGACTGTGGCTTGAGTAGCACTTAAGCTTAGAATACCTGTACTTAAGGGCTTGATTTTTATCATTCTTAACCTAAATTTTTAAAGCAGCATCAAATAAAGAAAAAAAGCACAGTAATTAATATTAAAGGAGGGGCATAAGCAGATTACTCTTTCCAGTTAGACCGATGTCTCAGCAGTTCCATTCCACTTCAGGTGTTTGCTGGCAGTGCATTTGAATGAACTGTGATAGTTTTGTTCAACAGTAACCTTCTGTACAGGCAGAAAAAAAAAAAAACAAACCCACAGCCTCCCCCCCCACCCCCCCCCAACATTTCTGCTTGAAAAGCTGTAAAATAGTCTGTTTGCGTGGGTCTGATCCTGTGAACTTCACTATATGTGTTTATTTGATGAGGAAGGAAATGAAAAATCAGTCCTATTCTGTATTTGTACTACTGCTTGTTTGCTACAATAGCTTGATTTCTAGAGATTAAGTATGTGTTGAAGCAGGCCCTGTAGCTTTAGCCTACAGCCTGGAATAGGATTATTGCCTTTTATTCAAGCCTCCTAAACAGCGTCACTCTGTTAGTAAACCATTTAAAGTCATGCTGGGACTCTGTAACCCGTCAAGTGGATCTCACGAAGTGATGTGAAGTATAATGACGTGATTGTGGCTCTTTTGGTAGGTTTGGGTCAGCACACCACACATTGGCACACCGTCCATATCTGCAATTCGCTGTCACTCTTACACAGACAAAAAGAATCCCCCCACCCCACCCCACCCCCACCTAAAGCTGTGGTATGGCAGCTCAACAATCTAATAGCATTTTCTGAAAGGAAAGCAAACTTCCCTTTAAACGTATTTTCACATGTTTACAGGCAAACGGCGTATTTTTTAACACTAGCTTACAGAGCATTATTTTGCAGTCATCTAGTTTAGAGTCAAATCCTACTAATGTGTAAAGTAATTCCTGTTGTACAGAAGTTGTTAACCTGTTGTTTAAAATGAATGGTTAAAAAAAAGTGCAAATGACAAATAACGTGTTGGTGTTTGTATGGGTTTATCTAGAATAAAATGCATTTGGAGGTTATTTTGGTTAACTTGTGTACTTTAAAATGGTTAAAAGAAAGCAGGCGCCACTTGTAGCAATGCCGAGGTCGTGCAAGGAATGGGGCGTAAGACACTGACCGGCGTCAGCTGAGAGCTGCTACTGCGGTTCCAGCCCTGCGCGGCTCCAAGGCAGAGCCACGCCGGTGAACGCCGTGCGTTACAGACCACCTCCGTCACCCTGACGTTGGGAAGTACAAAAAAAGGAAGGTACGATGCAGGCTCAGGGGATGCTGGGGGCGGAGAGGGACTGGCCCGAAGCCCAGCAGCTGCCGAGCAGCGACCTCGCTGCGGGGCCCGGGGGGCAGGGAGGGGGCGGAGGGGATTCCCTGGGGTCGGGGGGGAGCATCCTCCGTGAAGCAGCGGCAGGCTGAAGATGCAGTGCCCGCTACACCTCCACGCGGCCTTCAGGAGCCGCGCTACAACGTCACTGCTTCAGGGCTCTGAGGCCGATGATGCCTTTAAAATGTTAAAAACGAGGATAACCTGATAACTGTTCTTTCGGGAGAGGGTGCTGCCGGGACAGGAAATCAACTCCCACGCAAAGAGCCCCAGAAGGACCAAGCGGTAGATAACCATCCATTCTTCCTCCCGCTATTACCCTTTTTCTGCCCTCCGAGGCTTCCCGAGTCGGTATAAACCGCCCTCCCTGCCCCCCGACATCGGCTGGAAGTCTTGCTGGAGACCACGTAAGCAGAGCCGGGGGCAGCAACGCGAGGCCGTTGAGAGCTGGCTCTTTGCAACCATCGCCGACTGGCAAATGGGACATCTGGCAAAGCTGGCTCAGGCGCAGGTGGTTACTTTTTCCAAACTGATCCTGCAGGAGACAGTAGCCATAGCTTCTGTTACTCCTCGTAGTTACACTGTTTTCCTCGGAGAAGTCTAACAAATTCCCCAAGAAAGTGCAGCACAATCCTTGCTCTGACGTACTGTCTGGAAAATCAAAAATGCAGCGTCCAGAGAGAAAAGTCGAATCGACGACAATGTCACCATACGCAATGTAGTCATTCAAGTGACTGTTACTACAGTCTAATAACATTACCAAATAAGTTACTAAAAGAAATGGCACTGCATATCTCGCTGTCTCATACTTTCACTGCAGTATGTGGGAAGAGAAAAAACACACAAACCCAAAACCCAGATAAAATCATTCCTACGCTTCCAGGAAAGTTTTCACTACCAAGTCAAAAAAAAAGAATTGATCCTTTACAAGTTTCTGTTACTAAACTGATAATGGGGGGGAGGCAGATTTTAAACAAACACATTCAACCTTGAATAAATAATTTTATTGTAGTTAAGTAAACAAATTACAGTAGCAACAAATACAAACTTACATTTTCATAATGTGAAGGCGACTTGTTATACTTCACCTCTGCTACATTATATTAAAAAACCCGATTATTGCTTATTCCCGCTATAAAAACGCAAGAGGCACATTGTCAAGGGTAGCAAATAAAAGTTGTCAGCACTTCCTCCGTTTCATTGCATCCTCTCTATCTGCATGGGAACTTCAAAATAACGATCCAAACGTGGATTACAGCATTGTTAACAATCCAAACAGCAACCCACCAAAACTCCACGCTGATACAGTAACTTCTACACTGAAGGAGTAAGAGGATATTATCAAATAAGTTTTGAAGGATTTATCAAAAAAGTGTGATTTTAATTTTTATTTTAAATGTCAGCACAACCCAAACCTTGATAAATGTTTTTTAAAGTTTCGTGTGATGAGATTATTTCATATGTCTTGACTTCCAAATAATTTTACATCATTTATATAAAAACATTTAAAAACGTAGTTAATCTTTCGATGCTTTTGTTTTGAACCATTATATTTGATAATTTATGACAGTCTATCAAAAATAAATACAAAACTGTGCAGAATATATTTTATGCTCTTCAGGCACATACAAGCATGGTTTTGGCAAAATATTAAAAGCCTGTACAAAGGATAAGCTAATGAACACTAACAGCATGTAGAGTTTGCAGAGTTTATTTGGAGTCCTCACTTTGCGCATCGCCTTCTCCAGCGACCTTGTTTCTAGCCAAGTCCCTGTACGCGCCCACCGTTACTCGCTCTCTAGATGGTCCAAGATCTTGCAGCTGTTTTCTCTGTGTGGTTTCTAGTTCTTCCAACCGCTTGCGAAGCACGGAAAGCTCTCTTTGATGCTGTTCCTCCTTGAAATTATAAAAAAAAAAAAAAGTGGCTCTGTTACATTTTGCACACCTACAAGGGACCAAAATGAGCAATAGTTTCATTTCCTTGAATTAACAATTTTAAAATAAAAATTGTGAAGTCCAAAATATCCTTATTCCTTAAATTTTACTCCTCGGTGTTTTGTGGGTATTGTTCTGACATTCACGATGAACAGCATCAGCAGGATTTTTTTTGAAATAGGCGTGCAGGCGTTCCTCCTCTCAGATGAAGCAGCACGCAGACCTGAGGTCTCGGCTACCAAGAATCTGTAAAGTCAGCCTGGTCAACGTCAGCCAGAGAGATTTTCACCCTCAGAAGCTCACCAGAGTGAGTAAAACTTTAACCACACAAGAAATCCAGGGCAGCAATGCTGCTTTTTAATAACGAAACCATGGTGTGAGAACACCACTATGGTATTTCTTGCCCAGAAGGAGCCGTTTAAAGCCTCTCAGGAGGAGGACAAAGTACGGAGAGCCAGGTTAACACTGCCCGTTTGTTACATTCTGTAACGCATCGTTTGTCTTTCAAGAACTCCCTCCTATTGCGAGGAAGGGAACAGCACTAGAAGCATTCCTCAAAGTTCCCTTCCTCTGTTCAAAGATCAAATACTCCTTCCTTAAGACTAAGGTCTGTAATGAAGGACTGTTCTAGTACCCTCTTTCGTTGTGTTACTTTCACAACTTGTAATACATCACCACCTGAAGAAGGGGGAAGGACGCTTCAGGCCCAGGAGGCAAGGCAGATGATGACATTGTACTGACTGGATTGAGTGACGGTATGTTAGGATTCAGAATTAAACTCCGGAATTCGTTGTGTCTACGTTGCAAGTCCTTTAGTCTCTTCTGGAGGTGTGCATATTCTTCATAGGAAACATTCTGCCTAGGAAGTAAGAGATTTCTAAGAAATCAAAATCTTTATTATCCCAACACAGAAGCATACCTCTCCACGAGTACTCTACTGTTTATTATGCCTACAAAGGAAAACTATATACCAGAAAAACTGGAAGGTGGAAGATCTGTTTCTTCCATTCTTCCACATGCTTCTCCCTAAATGTCTATCTAGAAGTCCCTCTACCCGTTAAGCTATCTGCTGTATTACAGATTAGAATTTACATGGAATAAATTAAGCTTTTAATAGCATTCACAGTAGTGAGCCGCAGGAGCCACATTAAATTAATTACCTGAATCAGGCCCTCCATAGGTACGCAAAAAAGAGAAAAAAAATAGCTTGTCTTTCAAAGAGGACGCTAAGTCTGCTTCTCTTCCAAAGTCTTTTTCTTTCCCATCTTCCATTTATTTTCACATACCGTACTTTCAACTCTAACAGTGCTTCACTGCCACATCTCCTTTTTTACATACTTCCTTCTTTTGAGGGATTCCTGCAACTGCGTGTCAGATATTTTTCCTCCATTTCTTCCTGAAGAGACAGCCCCGCAGCTGTCCCAAAGTCTTAGCTGTCCATCCTAAATGGATTCTATTCAAAGAATCCTAATGCTGAAAATGTCATTTGATGGGACTCCAGTTACTAAACTGTCATGCATCTTCAAAATTACTTCATATTTGTAAGTCAGATCTTGGGTGTATATCATTTTTCAAGTTCAGAAAAAGCAAAGTTTATTACCTATTTAGCACCTGATTTTCTTTTTCTAGCTCTTCTATCTTGGCTTCCAAAAGTTCTAGTTTCTCTTGCATCCTCCTTTGTTTATTATCAGTGAGCGTCTTTCTCTGTCAAACAGACATTTCAAACAGAGCTAAGTAATGCCTTGATAGATTAGATCCTATAAAAATTAAATCTACACTGCATATGGTTTCAAAGCTGTGACAGTTTTTAGGATTTTCCTTCCTTAAGAAGCAGCAGCGCTGTGTTGTTTGAAGGTTCTGAATCCCCATGATGGGAAACAAAAGAGATCGGAAATGATCCATAGCTGCGACTGAAAGCTGCACAACTGTCAGTCACTCGTTGGTCAGAGACTTACTGTACTAACAAACACTAACTGTTTTTGAGAATTACGAAATTCATTCTTTAAATGACCATACATAAATAAATATAAACATGACCAAAAAAAGTATGCTTCGTTTTGGTTTGATTTGGTTTCCCCCCCCGGCCCTGCTCACATTGACCTCAACTTTTAAAAACTTTAAAAACCTTACTGGTACGTTTCATAACCTGTATATGTCCAGTGTATAAAACTGCCAATTAATCTTGACCTTTTGTAAACAATTAATCAGCTTTTCCTTCCAAGTTATGTCATAAAAAGCAGCTTAGGAGAAGATACAAAAATTTAATATTCCATCAAGGAAAAGCAGAACATCGTTTGTCTGGTATCCAAAACATCATCCCTACTAATCAAGAAGTCCACCTCTTAAATAACCATATACACACACACACACACCCCCCACACACACACACAGCCTCACAAGATCTTTGATGGCACTATAACAAAGTTGTTGGCTGTAATATTCTTCTGCATATCCCTTCAAACCTAGTTCTACGCTAATCCTGAAGAAACAATATATTTTGCTACTATATTCAGTAGATTGCAAATAAACTCTTAATAACAAAACAATGCTAGCTGCCCAAAGTAAAGCTCAACTTTTCATAAGCTGGATCATTCATAAAGGAAGAGTCAACGTGCCTTTTTCTGAGCAACAGCAGCTCGACATAGCTTGTTCTTCACTTGGTTGTATTTCTCTTCTTTCTCTGTGATACGCTGAGTAAGCACATGCTTCTCCTCCAGCCATTCTATACGTTTGTATTCTAAAGTCCTTTGAAAAAATCAGGTAAAAAGATCAAGAGGTTATACAGATAAAGCAGTGCATTTGATTAATGCCTCAAGGCTCCTAAAATAGATGCATCTTTTCACAACTCCTACCTTTATATACTTGAAGGATCTGATTTAAATTTGATTGTGCACAAGATTCACCAAGATTGAACCTGTGCTTTAACAACACCCTAGGCTTTGTTCAACTATGAGGCACATTTTGAAAACTGATTCCAATAAGCTAGTTAATTGTAGGCTGTTTGTTGGTTTGGCTTGTTACCAAACCATCCGTGGAAAATTTCTAAATTTAGCTCAAATAATCACACTGGAACACAGCAGTAGACACCTATGCCAAACATCAGCTGTCAGAAGAGCTGACGACTGCCTGCTCTGTTTGGAAGGGAAGATGTAAGAGAATAGGTTGCTGCCCTGTGTGGTCTACTACGCCTTTGTAACAGAGAAGTACAGACTTGACTAGCGTGTGCTCCCGACCAGAACAAATGCCAACACAACAGGAAGCTCCCGCCGCTATGGTTCGTAGACAACACTCCAGCTGAACACACATCATCAGCAACGTATGTTACCCGTTTAGGCCTTTGCATGGTTAAAACACACTGCAATTAGGCTGTGTTCTCTAGCAGTGGATAGGAAAGGAGCCAGTCTCTCTCTGCTGCCTTGTTTGTTTGGGCTATCTGCATTGTGGGTCAAAGCAGGCAAGAATTAACTGCACATTTAAGTACATTACTATAAAAAAAATCAAATGGTGAGATTCTGTGCAGCAGTTTTTAAGAAATGCAAGCCATGGCTTGCTATCAGTGCACCCATACCACTCCAGTCCTGGGCTGATACAG